GCGACCTGAGACAGCGCCTGGGCGTACGTGGCTGTGTTGAGGAGAGTCCCGGGCAGGCAGGACGGGAAGAACGGACCGCCGGGACCCACAGTCCTGTTTATGCTTGAAAAGAAAACATGAGAGGGGCTTAAATTGAAGGACTGAATGCCATGACACGATAACCAGACGAGTCGACGAGGTTCAGGGAGTGCTTCCGGAAGCCGGGCTCCAGCTGCGCACTCTGCTGAACAGTTTAGCGCTCCCTATTCCAGTCCGCCTTGCTATATACAGGTACGGTAAATGAGTCCCAGCACTCCGGGTTGGTTAGCCTGCTATAGTCGGGCAGAGCGCAGGCATATTCCCTGCTGGGCTTTCTTTTCTCCTAACAAGCATGAACCCCTGTCGCACAAGTCCCCGAAACTCGCAGAACACTCATGGGTCTCTTTAAGTAACTAAAAGAACGGACTGTGCACCTCGACGCTGGATTTTTGACCGGCCGCACCTTTGCTGAATTTCCAGCGATTCTTTCTTGTTCCTGCCCTGCTCAAGGGGCGCCGGCGAGGCCATGTTGGTCGCTGGGGGGGCGCCCTCGCCCAGCGAGTCTTTGCCCCCCTCTGCGTCCGTACTCCCTCTTTCCGTTTTTCTCCATTTGGCTCTCCGGTTCTGGAACCACACCTATAAAATATGAAATTCGGGAAAAAATAAAAATAGATCTAAAGATAACTATGTATAATTTAATCCGATTTCAACGAATAATACTTAAAGTGCGGAATCATAGACACAGAGCGTTATGTATTTCTGTATAATACCCACTGTAATCTTGTTCCTCGTCACAACTTTTTCTCCCTTGTATTTTAAATGCGCTTTAAATGTCGTTCTTGGACAAGGGTTAATAAGATATTCTCAAATTCTTGGGATAAAATTGGTAGGTATTTCTATCAATTTCATAGTCTTTGTGTAAAGATATCAACGGTAATGTGTCACCTTTTCAGTTACCTCGTCGACGCCGGAAATAAAGAAACGGTTTATCCTTCCTGTTTAATTGAAGGTGCCTGACTGGACCTCACTGTACGTGACGACTTATTTTCAAACTTCGAGGACATAAATGCTGAGCATATGCAGGGAAGTTCTTGTATCTTAATTGAATGAAGGTCATTGGCTATAACAACATTTAATTGAGCAATTTTTCATTATCATATTTTAATGACTTCCCACTGACAGTTCCCCTGCTTCTGAGAGAGAAGCATGATGAAGTCGTTTATTTCCCTATTTAGTGATTGTTTGACAACATCAGATTCGATTAAGACTGGGCTTTCTAACGCATTAATCATATTTGAATAGGAAAGAGCCAATAATGAAACGCATCTCCGCAGGCTTGCGCTTATTGTGCATAGGTACAATGATGTCAACACGAGCACAAATATATATATATAGCATTCACTCAGCATAATAAAAGACAACAGTTTGCTGGCAGAACAACAATATTCAGAATTTAATTGTCACAACACTATCTCACCCCTGCACCTTCCAGCAAGAAGTCATGATCTCCTCCTTCTGAATGGTCTATAATTGCCCCATTTATCTCAATTTGCAGTTTGGTCTTAAGGCGGCAATGGCCAATTGACACTTAAAAGAAGGTCTACACACTACAACAAAAAGAAAATTTATTTTCTAATAATAATGTAAGTTTAATATCCCTGCATGCTGCCACTGATTCATGTTCAGATTTAATAATACGAATCTCGTAATCCGATTAGAGAGAAATAATTTGTTTACAATCCCTAATTTACAGCTGCGAATTCCATTATCTCTCTGCAGTCATTGGTTTTAAGCGATAGTAAGATGACCCAGGGGAACAAAAGGCAAACTATTATATTTCTTACAATTAAATCTGCGCTTGCACCAAAACCCAAAAGCAAATCTGGAATGCAGGAAATTACATATAGGACACATTGAATTTAATTACACGTGGCCATGTTTATATAACTGCAGATCTTTTTGCAGAACAAGTACAGAATATAAATTGTCAAATGCAAGACCTCCTGTACTGACCGTGTAACATCATATATATATCGGCATGTATATAATATATACTATATAATATATACTATACAATATATAATATATAATATTATCGGGAAATGTGTAAGATCCTCCTGCATCGTTAAAAGCATAGCATCTTTTATTCCTTTTTTTCGTGGCACGGAAATGAATGGAGCATCGATGTAATTTAGTGCCTTAGAGACGCGGACAAATTAGTGTAGAACATTATCAGTAGTTAATTATGAATGACCGATTAATCAACCTAATCTAATATTCCACATTATGTTGATGTTATTAAAGTGCATCGCGAAAATGACAGATTGGCTTAATTTACTTTCTTTGGCCAAACGTGCTCTGAACATTACTAATGTAAAAAAAAAAAAATAGTTTCCTTGCTCTGTAGTCTGCTCATCTTTCACTTCAGATCAACTACTCACCTGGACACGAGCCTCGGTCAGGTTTATTTTCATCGCCAGCTCTTCTCTCGTGAACACATCGGGATAATGAGTCTGTGCAAAAACTGCTTCCAAAGCCTCTAACTGAAATGAAAAGAAATGATTCGTGAGAGATGAGGCAGTCTTACTACGGATGATCCAGGAATACCTTTCAACGTCGGAATTGGTCACCACTATTTTTCAATTGTCTTAAGTCCTATGGTCCTTTTCTTTTCTTAAGTTCCTTTTTTTTAGGAAGTTATAAATCTTCTAAATAAATCTCTCAGTTCGTGTCATACATAAAAAAGTACATGTATTACAGTGCCGTAAATCCAATATGTGATTTCCTATATGTTTTCCACTTACATAAACATGTGATCATGTCCGCAGGGCTATAGAATGAAATACATGTATGCAGGAGACACGAATAATAAAGACTTTTATGAATATTGTGTCATAGAAATGCTGCTGCTATCACTGTATTAATCCACGGTTGCTCTTGTGGCTCTCTGGGTACTATGGTTGCCCACAGGAATGTCCAAATTCGAAGGTCTCCGTTATCGCCTCCTTCAGTGGAAACAGTGATCTCTGTGCCACACGCTGGCGGACCCTTACCATTGGTGAAGGCCTGTGCGGCGCTTCTTTTCCACAAGAATAATAACTGCGATTAAAAGTGGAAAATGACGACGATATGCAGGATGCGAACTTTGTCATTTTGTTGTTGTTTTTTTAATTGTCTGCTACCGACGGCCACAACTTGACCTCAGGTGGTTTATATTGGTCTCATAAGTACAGCCAAGTAAAGAAAAAATCGGAATGCTTTAAGCAGCCTTTCACAACACAAACATCAACAACAGCAATCGTAATAATGAGAATGTTCTGCTTTTGTTATGTGGGCCTCGTCGGCAGCAGCGCACATTTTCGAAGTAATTCTAAATCTAATTTCATTTAGTTCGCACCTTAGAAAACTTTCTTTCTGTGGAAAAAATTAAAATTAGAAGGGAGGCCGCGACGCAGCGGTTGTTGTCTGACACTGTCGCTGTATCATGAAAAAAAAAATAACTTCAGACCAACGCAGTATCTCAATAGCGGGCTGGTCCATGTTTTTACATAAACTTTATATAACCGACAGCAGACCATTCACAAGAAAGGGATTCGAGACATCCACATGTCTCTAGTAGTAACCACGTCACCGTTTTCTCCGTTCACTTTGTGGGCCGCACTCATTAAAAAAAAATTGCTCTAACATATTCCACACCTTTACTTTTGCTTTCTTCCTAAGGAGAACGCGATACAATAAAAAGGTCAATCAGGATGCTGCTTTAAATCCTTTCGGGCATCTAAAGACAGCAAGTTTTCTCTTGAAGGAAATCGACACATTATACACAGTGTGCAGCCAGCGCAGTCCGGCTGTGCGCGTTTCCCGGATCATGCAGAACGGCCAGCACATGACTCGTGTTCACGGGTCCGCTGAACTGACGCCCAGTGTCAGTGAAACAATGCCGGGCATGAGCGCTATTTATTACCTGCTGCAATGTGAACGTTGTTCGGTTTCTCCGTTGTTTTCTTCTTAGGAAACCATCATCGAAGTCCCCGGCAGCGTGACTCCCAAAACTGCTGGTGTTCACTGAAATGGTCAGTAAAGCACAGCAGATTTTTTTTTAACGACCGAGACAACTTTTGGCCTTCTGAGTCAAGGAACAGTAAGGACATGTTGTCTTTGAATGCAAAAGTACAAGATTTATCTGGACTAAAATACATTTTAACATTAAATCAGGAATTTATCAAGAATATAAATTTGTACATTGTAAACGTAAAAATAAGCCACGAGCGAGGGAGTTTTAGAAGCTTTATTTCCGTGAAGACAATAGAATATTAGATTATTACACCTTAAAATGCAAATAAGGCTGCAGATTGCTTCCAGGGCACAGCGTATTTAGACGGTTTGGCTATTTTAATGGTGATTTATTATTTACAAATATTTAGAATAACAACATAAAAGATTAATTTGGACAGTTGGGAGAAAGGAGGAGCGTGCCCAGATTGAATTGTCGACTAGAGGGTTGACACCAAACATCTGTGATCACTAAGACAAAAAAGAAGCGGTCGGCGCCTGAGGGCAAAACCAGCTTCTCTACAAACAAGGGAGGCAGGTGGCAAAGAGCAAGTCAAACAAACAAATAAATAAACTTTGTCTTATACAGTAGCTTCGGCAAAAACGTGCCCCTTGACACAACAGTAGAGCGATTTCCTCCAAATCTGCAGGTATTTATGCCCATTTTGAAATGCAACAAATGACATCAGATAACGTCATCCGTAAGGGATGAAACAGATCTGACTGCTCAGGTACCGGGACACATAATATTCACATGATCCGTCAGGTTCTAAGGCAATACATTTCCTGAATCAAACAGCCGGTTAATTTACTTAGAGGACACTTTCTGGACATCGTGATTTTAGTTTTCAAAATATATTTGTGGGAAAAAATATTGTGACCTACAAAGACGATGATTAGTAGATCTAGATTAAAACCTGCAATTTATCATTCGCTCTGGGCCTTCACTTTTTGTGAGTTAAGCATATTCAAGAACTTAGAATGGAACGCACAGACTGAAAGAACATTTGGAAGTGGCAAAGATGAATCGTCATTTTCAATTGGTAAATATGTGAATGACATAAAAAATGCTTATTTTAAATCCCCGCATAGATTCCCTTACTTCACAAAAAGGAATCCTGGAAAGAAAAGAGACCATGCTCTCCTCATGCAAAGAAAGAAAACAATCTTGAGAAATAAGAAAGACACGGGGATACGCAAGTACAGATCCTAAAACTGGCGTCAGGATCAAGATAACCTAGAGTCCCTTTTCGGTGCCATAGTTAGTATTCCTGTACTGATGATGCCAATCAAGTCCAGAGAACAAGCCAGGCTGGTGTTTTACTCACAGGTATTAGATCTGCAGCACTCCCCGTCCAACTGCGGTGGACAATGGAAGTAAAACATCGCGCCGTCCGGTGAGGAACTTTGTTTTACGCAGGGGGTATCGCTTCAGACCTAAAAGACCATTTCATGTGTGAAAGAAATGTAACAATAACAGACGAACTTGAGCGAGAACATCTGGAACTGTTTTTATGAGTTTGCAATAAGCCATCGGTTTCACACGCGAATGAGACACATTTTGTTCACAGATAAGACAACCCAGCCATGCAGACCTTAGATATCCCCGGTATTTACTACTGTATATTTAAGATTACAAAGTACACTGTCTGGCAGAATTAAGGTGCAGCTGAGGTACACATAACTTCAAAAATTGTATCTTGTTCAATAAGCGCTTCAAATGCTCATAGAAGGACAACAAAATTGTATGTACTGTATATATTAAATGTTTCAGTGTACTATATTTACGTATCTACTGTATCAGCAGACACCAGACAGATAACGGTACATACCTATTTTCCTGGAGCAGATTCACAGCCGCTGTTATAGCCTTTGGGAAGATGCAAGCTGCTCCTGTGCGTCTGAGCGTGTTACTGTTCCACACTCCCTCTCTCTCACACACACACACACAAAGCGAGAAAGAGAGCCCAGCCCTGGGAGTGACCAGATGTCTTTATAACTGTCTCCAGCATGTTCAGCCTCTCAGCACTTGCCTTTATAATCTCACGCATAATTGGCCTTAATCTGATTATTTCCAGCATTGTCTTCCGTGAGTGACTTGGATAGGTCCATTGGGCTTTCCAAAGACCTCACGTGGACGAGGACGTCATTTCTCAACAGTACCCAATATTTTTTAAAAAAATGTCCTTATTTCCACAATTACCAGGAGCTATGCGCCGCGATCACAAATCGTAAACATTCACGCCCTTTTTAGACAGTACGTTTTTTTTCCCCTTTCGTTTTTATATTAAAACCAAGATGACTGCTTCAGGATTTTAAATTTACTGTCAGACCCGTAATTGCACATTAGATGGGTTGGGGGGTCCACTTTACTCAGGGCTTCACTTTCCAGGCGCTCGCGCTACCAAATTTTGATTTTGTTCACAGCAAGGGGTCTCGGATTTATGTTCGCTTTCCCCTGCAAATGATATGCAGCGGGACCCTTTCAATTACTTTTAAAACGCATCAGGGACACGGTGGAGAGAGATCGTCGTTTCTCTGCCTTCTGAAAATTAGGCTCTAAGTACCAGCTGAAATTTTGAAGTCGGGGGCGGGATTGGACGAAATCACATAAACGGCAAAAAAAAAAACAGGTATAATGGCGCATAATTGGTTCTCTAATAGCATTACACAAGGATAATAGCCTGTTACGGCCCCCTGCGCTATTAAGTGCTTCCCCGGAGTAATGGCTTTATGATATTAAGGGGGGAATATAATGATATTTTGGTTATTAAATGCGTGTAATTAATTTATGCACCGCTGAAAATAAAGTTGGTATTATGACCTCGGTAAGATGCGTCAGAAAATTGAAATCGAGCAACTGTTGATAACTTTTGGTCTGTGTTTTGTCTAGACAATCTTGAGGCTGATTGTTTTTTTGGATAGACTTCAGAAATTGAATATTTCATAAAGGCTGGCAATCGGTACAGGGAAATGTTACAGGCGTGTTAGAGACACGGGGAAGAGCCCTTAAAGGGGTGGGAGACCCCTTCGCCGGTGTTGCGCGACTTCGCCTCTCGGATGCATCTCCATCCGCGGAAATAAACCGGCAGACCATTAACACGAGAAGAGGAAGCGAGTGCCGAGCTCTCATGTGCAGTTATGTATAAATATGCAGACGCTGCTCATATTCTGTTCTGAAGGACAGATCTCAGCGGCAATAAAAAAGTTTATATCCAGAATAGAAGTATATCATTTGAGTGGGGGGGGACAAAGATAACTGTGCTGGGGGGAACGGTTTCCACATGTGCCGTAAATGCAGAAATTTAAAATAATTTGGAGAATATTCGCTTACCTTTTACATGTTAGGCAAGGTATACATTTATGGCATGCAGGCGTGTATATAAAGAACTGTTCCTGGTGAGGAGTTTTATTTCAATTTGCTGAAAAAAGATAAATCAATTAACTATGTAAGTCTTTGTATATAGTTTATATAATATATGTAAATAGAAACAGAATTACGAATATAATATACGGATAGATTATGCAATCTAAACCAAAAACAGCGATATTCTCAATTACATGAACAAAAGACACGCTTTTCTATTCGTCAGTGGTTTTTTCTATCTTAAAAAATACCGTTCTAAATTCGTGCTAGAGAAGAGAAATAAACTGCAAAACATTATCCCTGTTATAATTATTGTCCGAAAGTAGGAGTGCACACGAATAATTCCCTTTTAGGTACGTTTTTTAAAAAAAAATAATTGAACGCTCATTTGTAGATCTCGGTTGTTTTGAATAGAACTCTCACGAGCTCGCTTCGGCGCGGGTTCAGAGAAAGGATTCAGCACCTCGGTCAGCGCCAAAGACACCAGACACTTGGATCTTTGTGGTCCAAGAAGACAGGACTTTTAGAAAAGAGGACGCAGCTACCTACAGTACTTGGACTTCTTCAGTCCATTTTCTCATCTTTATGTGATCTGGCCTAATAAATAAATACCAAATATTTGCAATTTTCTGCAATTTCCCTCACGGGATCAATAAAGTATCTATCAAAATCTTTTGTATACCAAATATTTGCAATATTCTGCAATTTCCCTCACGGGATCAATAAAGTATCTATCTATCAAATACAGGACAAATTAATAGACACTAGGACATACTGTACATATGCCAATTAGCAGAAGCACACTGGTGATGACTTCTGTTATTCATGATATCTTTATCATACTTCACACGATTGAAGGGAGAAAAGAGGTGACCGTCCCTAATTTACTGTTTCTTTTCTGAATGGAAGTTGCTTACATTCATATTTTAGGGGTATTTTAGAATTAATTTATGTTTTGTCTATTTTTATTTAGGAACACATTCCTAAAATAACCACACGTATGTGCATTATACCTAGTGTTAAGAAAAACAAATTAAATATCGTGTCTAAACTGTTCGATAAAGTGAAAAGAGTTTGAGAAAGAAGCGTACATGTGTACGCTAAAAACGCACGCAAACTACTAAAGGATTTTGTCCTAAATATATTTTGTAGAACATAGCTCTGTGTTTGTATGGATATATACAGTATTTACCCCTCCGAACTTCTCCTTAAATGTTTAATTTTTTTTATACTTAAATGTTTCGGATTTTAAAATTGTCATTCCTAAATGATGCGCGACTATCGGCACGTGCATATCGAACCGTTGAAATATTTATATCTTCTCTCGATTCTGCGGATTTTTATATAATTTATTTTTCGGAGCGGAGTTACAAAAAAATATATAAGTTTATAATTCAATAATGGAAACCTCTGTATTTTCTGGTTAATAAACTCGTCACTCCAAATAGTGAGGCTCAGTCCTACTTGAAGGCAGCACGATAGACTAAAATATAGTTATAGACTGACAGAGCCACGTATGAAAATCATGTTCACTGTCTCCAACTTAAACCCTAAAAGCCGGTGTTATTAGAGAAATGTTTGAGTGTTTGTGCATGTGAAAAATAAGAAAATAATTAATATTTCAACCTTTATTTTCTTTTACAGTATGTACATCTCGTTAATATACAAATTAAAAACAACGAACAGCAAAACTGTAACAAACAAAATCACCAACAATCAAATACAATGAGCTAAGAACAGTAGGGAACAGATTATTATGCGAGATCCCATTAACTGTGCTAAACAGCCAGGGCATGTTGTTAATCTTCTAGAACAGTGTGCTTGTTAGAAAGAGAAAGAACGGCCTTTCTCAGCATGGCTGTGGTCTTCTTCCAGCTTGTATGCCGAACTGCCTACTGTATAATAGAGGGGTTTTTCATGCTCCAAACCTTTTGCGAATCAGCTCGGTGGGTCTGTTGTTCACTTTCCCCTTTGCTTTGATGGCAGGGTCATCACCGTCTAACCCTGCTGGCTAGTGGCAGCCACAGCTAACTGCAACCATATCGTCGTACTGCTTGAGCACAACGTTTTCTTCATCGTCGAAGTACAGGAGGTTAATGGAGTGCAGCTTGTCAGGGACGCAGCAGGGCATCTCCACCTCGCTAGACAGCTTCAGAGCGTTCACGATGGACTGCACGGTGGCGTGGTTGGTGGCCCTTAACCCTTCTCCCAGTGGAAAGGGGCAAGAGCCCTTGCAGTGGTAGGCGTTGTAACCCCGTGGAGAGATGATCCACCCTGACCAGCCGATCTCCTCAAAGTCCACGTACAGAGGCAGCCTTTGGCATGACTTCGGATACCCTTCAGCGTAGAATGGGGCCGCGCGGGCTGTCCGGATCCGGCTTCTCGTCTTGCTTGGAGAAGCTGCGTTCTCTGCCTGGACTGGCGCAGGGGCTGCCTGACCCCCAGCAATGGTGCTTTCTCCTGAAGACAGAGAGGCAGCGTTTTAGACAAGGGAGCAAATTCTGCCACTTTTTAACAAGATTGATATTGTGCTCGGAAAAAGTATTCCACAAAGACTAAAGGGTTTACATTTTTATCATGAATATTGGGTGGTAAAAGTGGACTTCCAAGTGTGTTCTACTTAAACCACAAAGAAGTGATACTGAAAACAGAAATTTGTCAACAGTGTAACCTGCCAGATGGCTCCTTAGCAAGCTACTTTAAATGGGATTTCTTTCAGCTAAAACATTGTTTCTGTTTCTGTGCTTCATGCTTTGACCAGGTGCTCAGATGTAAATGTTGACTTCGTACAGCAGGAGCTCCTACGCTTCCTCTGCTACCATGTGGCCAAAGCTTGTGGATGATGAAGGAGATTGGCCCTTCAGTCAATCGTACTAGGTTTTAAAAACAATGTCATGACAATGCACCTGATCTGTTTATGATCAGACTCAGACCATGGAACGGGGGAGGGTGGTACCTTCTGCACATGCAACGACAACAAATGGGCTGGGTGGCACCTGCTGGGTCATTCAATCTCCTGGGAGGTGCAGTAGGCACCACCTTCACCATTGCAATGGGCCTACCTCACATTGATAACAGCCCATTCATTGGTCTGATTACAAGCAAATAACACATCACTATGCATATTAACTTAATCAGCCAACTTATCCAAAATATGTAATCAAACATACACCTTGAGAGGTGGATGAGGATATGCGTGTGTCAAGGCTCCAGACAAGAGGGTCATGAGGATGAACCCTAGGCTGCCCAACACTTCACTTAGACTGCTCAAACAAATGAGTCAAAATAGGAATTTAGTCAGTTGGCTGACCTTGTGAAATAAAGGAATAAATAACAGGGGCATCTTGGCATTTTTAAAAATCCTTCTCACAGATTTCAGGCTACATAAAGCGTCCTTTAAGAAAAGCCCTGCCACCATCTGGAAAACAAGCCTAGTGATGTTTGAACTGCTTTTCACAGGTGTTGAAGGAGAACCCAACTGTGATCCACAAACTCATTTCCCCTACCAAGCAATTAAAGAACATCAGAGCATGTGATGTTAGTAGGGGAGTACCGCAGGGTTCTGTTCTAGGACCATTGCTCTTCTTAATTCATATCAATGATCTGCATTCCAGGATAGTTAATAAACTAGCCAGATTTGCTGATGATCCCAAACAAGGAGGCTTAGAAAACAGTGTAGAAGCTGCAAATCAAATTTAAAAATAGATTAAATTCGTAACTGGGCAGACACCTTACAGATGAAGTTTAACGTAGACAAGTGCAGGGTTTTGCATGCAGGTAGTAAAAACAAACTGTAAATACAAAAAAGAAATGCTGAGCTAGAAGAGGCTATGAAAAGGATGTTTATGTTACATCTTCTAAACAATATGGGCAAGCAATTAAATAGGCAAACAAAATGTTATGATGTATAGTTAAAAGCAGATCATTTAAACCAGTGGATGTTATGTTAAAATTGTATATTGCACTACTAATGGCTCAGTTTGAACATTGTGTAGAATTTTGGTCACTACTGACAGGCTGATGGAATTTAAGTCTTGAACAAAGAAGAACTGTACCTGATACAAGCATTCAAAATCCTCTTATGAATGAACAGTGAACAGTGAAACATGAAGCATTGGAAACCATGCAGATGTGCATTTAAAACCAAGAAAGGGACACACTTATTTTCCCAAAGGGTTGTGGGAGAGTGGAACAAGCTACCCAGCCACGGTGTTGAAGCTGGTAGCCTGGTTTCTTTCAAGAATTAGCAGGAGATCCTGGGATCTATTAGCTACAGTACTATCAAACTGGCTAGATGGGCCCAATGGCCTCTTTGGATTTGTAACTTTTCTCATGTTTTTAGTTCAGCCTAAAAATAAAGAAGGCTAGTCAGCCTTTGAGTTCATGTATCATCACATGGTACTACTAGTTGCCCATCCCAAATATTTCGGATTATCCAGTCCTGCCCATCTGACAAGCCTTTGGAAAGTAGGGACAGACCAGATCACCTGAAGAACACCCATGCAAACAGCGTTGATCTAGCAGATTCCACACAGTCACCTCAAGCAGGAATTAAACCCCAGGCATTGCGGCCTTGTAAGTAACTGTCTCAATACTGTGCCAAAACGCCCAGATATCAAAGCGAGGCTATTACTATCTGCATGTGCAATTTATTCATGCAATATGCACGTTGTTTTCAGCAAGGAATAAAAGCCCACACCAGTAACAAGTCACATTTATGGCGGGAAATATTACCCGATTTTAAATTTGATGTGCACGGCACTTCGGTATCTCCAGTGATAACAATGGAAAGACAGCAAAAGGAAAGGTGGACCTTTCTCCAGCTTGTGCATTTCTACAGAATCTCAATGTTGGGAGGGTAATTACCTGGAAAATGTGAAATATGGGTCTTTGACGCCCTTCTCCCATCATCAGAGAAGAGAACCAAGAAGGCTCGTTTTCCGCCAGCGCGTCTCTGGTACCTGTCGGCAGTCGTTACGCTGGGTCCCAGCGCGTTTCCTGAGGCCAGGGTCGTCACGATCAGGAAACCAGGACTGGAATCGCTGTTGTGAATCCATTTTGAAACCTGTTTTGGGAATGTAAAAAGAAAGTTACTGTTGAAGTGTGTTATGAGAATACCGTATTTTGTCCAGAACGAAGGTGGCTCTACAGTACCTGAATAGGGCCCAGAGCGATTAGATCAAAGCGCCCCTAGTGGGACTTACTGATATTAAGTAATTACAGATCCTAGGTTTTTTTTATTGGTTTGCTTTGTATTGTCTCGTTGTCTCGTATGTTCGGTTCAACGATTGTTTAATGAATAAATTGCCAAATCTGTCTTCTGCCTCTCTTGAATGTACAATAAACGTTTACTGCTGTTAGCCAATACCCTATACACTAACACTATTTTATGTATCTATGTATTTTATGTGTTCGTTACATTATAGATAAGTATATATTACAGTGTATTATGTTACGGTTAATTCTGTAACACAGATGAAAACGGTAGCAGCAGTGAAAGTAACAGTAAGAGTAACAGTGGGCCAATCGGCTGCCAACTGTGTATTAATCGAAGAATGTCGTGTGGCCGTTCCTTGAAGGACCCCTGAGCTTCTGCTTCAAAACCGTGGCTGGGCAGCTTGGCTCAGAGCCCAGAGATGAGTTTTCGGGGCATTAACGTCGTTGGTAGTAGCGGCAGTATTGATGCTAGCTGCCGTAGAGGCAGTTCGCTGCGGTAGGAATGCAGTAGTCGTGTGTAGCGGCGATCGCGCTGGTGGCCTTAGTACCACCGGCGGCGGCAGTAACAGAAGCGGGTCAAGAGAACGTGCACGGCAAGCTTACAGTGAGTGTGACGTTGAACACCTCCCAACCCTGGGCGAACAAGGGCAGTAATCGGGAGGCAATCAGGTTTCCTCTCCAGGGCTTCGTCTCGCCGTCGAGTGACTCGTAAATATCCACCTGAAATTAAGCAAGAAGCAATAGTTCAGCAGAACACAAAACAAAACGCTGACGACTTTAGCGAAGGAGGCGGCAGGCACTTACTTTGCAGAAACGATGCCCGAACGGTTTTCCAGCGACAAAGTTATGTTTATATTTGAATATCCGAAGTTCGGCTTTGATCATTTTCTCATTCTTTCCAAAAGATGACAGGTTGAAAAGATGATATGTTTGATCGGATTGCACTAGGGGAAGAGGGTTTAGACAACAATCATTATTATTTCACTTCATGGGCAGATTGATGCAATTGTCAAAATTGTTACCTTTTTACTCTTATTTTGCAGATTTTTGATCAAAATATAAAATCTTTAAATTTGAGGTATGATTTCAGTTTCAGTCACAATAAACATCATCATGTTGAAAATGTTATTTTTTAAGTGCAGGGTGCTTAATATATATTTTTCATTATTTTAATATAATGCATTTTTGCAGATGTACTAACAGCGGTGGTTTGACAGTATGAGGTTCTTTGTGACTGGATATGTTTTAAAAATAAATTAATTAAGCAACACCCCTCACTTTTGTCCTCAAAACTCCGCACAATGTTGCCTTCCAAAATCCCCGGATCCCTGGTTATGCCGTTTGAGTCCGCCACAGCGTTGAACAGGTCCAGCATGAACTGAGGAGGTCTCCTGCGGGGAAGAAAGTTTGGCGGCAAGTCTCCAATCTCAAATACTTCGTGCAGTTTCTGAATCGCCTGCGAGACGACCCCCTGCACGCTGTTCTGCTCTGTCTGCCTCGCCGAAGCCGTCTGCGGGATCCTTAACAACCGCCCGGGCTGGAAGAGCAGCGTCCACAGAGAGCAGATCCACATGCAGTGGACTCGCATGCTAGCTGGAGAAATCGCTACGGTTTCAACGGTGTAGGAAAACCCTCGGCGATCATCCCGAGTCTGAAGCGCAGCTGTCGCTCCCGGTAGCCGAATGGTCCAGAGACAAGATGACAAGTCATTATAAAGCTCCGCGACTCCACCGAGTTTTGCATATATAACCAAATCAAATGTTCGGGTACAGTGTTTTGATGACATTGACAGAGTGGGCAACCCCCTTGGTGACACGATGAACCAGGATAAACAGTGTTAATTGATGGCATTATTAAAACCCAGCAGGCCTCTGTCATTTGTTTAGGCTGTTAGCGGGTCTTCACGTCTTAAACGTCCCTGGCACACAGTGCAGATTCTGAGTTTATGCTTAGGAAACCTGTTTAAACACGCACAATTCTTTCAGCACCTCTAGGAAACTTGCCTTTGTCTGTATTGTCTCAAGTTCATCTCGCAGTTTCTGGCCAAATCCAGATGGGTGTATTATTTTGTCGTTAATTAAAACTAGACATCTTGCTATTTGCTTCTTCAGGCATCGAATGTTTATACTCCATTATTATAAAGCCATAACTTATCCATGCATCCTTTCAGCGTCAAAAGCACGCATTCAGAGGTTGCTTCGTCAATATCCTTCTTCGCATGAATATTTCAACATCATTAACTTTTTTTAAGCAAACCAAGAATGCAAAACGTGATGTATGGAAGATTGTATTAATCTCTCTTACGTGCAACTGGTTGAGAGGGATTTCCCTATGTACATATTTATTATACCCAATATTACACCATATTCTTTGAATGTTATATTAATCTGTGGACGTCTTTTAAAGATAGAGGCGCGTTAGTCTGGACAGCCAGCCGCTTCAAAACAGTTTCAGCTCTGCAGTGTGTTTGACTTCGACTATGACTACAGGTTTCCCTAATTGGAAATCTTGTTGTAAAGCAGTTCTAGATAGCTTTTTAATGTCTTGAAGTTGGCTCAAGAGCCCTTTTCCACGGCAGCCCTACTTGTGAAGAGCAGACGAACACTTCAAAGGGACGTTCACCGCGACATTCCAGTCAAAGCAAAACGGGGATTTTAACCAAGAACAACCGCACTATGAACGCTGTTCGAGTCGCGGCGCTGGAACACTTCCTGCTCATGCAAGTGTGCATTCATATAGCTTTCAGGATCCTGTCCTGTTATCAGCACGCTGCCAGCCTACTCTTGGAAATAAAAGTAAACTAAGAGACAGATCTGTGACGCAAATGAAAATAGAGATTTATTCGCTGTCATTCTCCAAAAACATACCTTTCACGTCACACCAAAGCTTTTCTTCAAAACATCCCCTGGAGAGCAAATTACTGGGAGAATAAACGGCTAAACGATATCAACGAAGTGTCACCAAACCCACTGATCTATTTACAGGCCCCGCTGAATAAATTGAGGATTATCTTCAATCAAGTTTGAAAAGTGCCGGGGGTAAAGTGTTAACAAGTGCGATTGCGGCTGAGATCACCGCCCTGATCAAAGGATTTGTAGGTCTCTGGCCCATTTAATCAATTGGTAATCAAGGAGGAAAACGCGAACTACTGATTAAATCCAAACCATTAACGGTTGTCACGGAAAAAAACTTTGTGCTTGTTTCAGAATCGCGGAAAGTTCAACCTCCACCAATATTTCTGAAAGCTTTTATCGAAGCGCTAATCAAGTACCGGCACAAATAATTTATCTAACAAGACCCTTGGCACGCAAATTGGAATTAATGAATTGTCTCGATAAAATTCCTATCGTTATTAATAAACAAAAGCAGGGGTTAATCCTAATATAAAATCGAAGGAAAGTTATTTGTAATTATTATTCCCAGTAATACATGAACATGGTTATATAACATATCATTTTTTAAATCTTAAAATGCATGAGTTGGACATAAAACATTTTAGAATGGTCTGACGCTTCATGTACAGAATTATCTTTGTGAACAACTCTGGTCTTTATGAGCCTCTTCCTACAGAGGAAAAAAAGGCCCCGTAACAAAAGATATAGACGCTGCTGACGTTTGAAGTGTCCCATCATGAAGTAAGAACAGAGCCCAAGACGACGGAATCTCAGAGAACGAGTTTCAGCAAGCTTAACGCAGATAAATATACTGTATATTTTTGTGATAAAAACCATCTTCCTGGGCCACCTGAGGGGATCAGGGTTTGACAGTGTCCAGGTTGGTCTTGGTTTAACAGCTGTAACTACAAACTGTCTTTCTAACTAGTGGGGGCAACCGATATGGAGCAGTTGTCGTTTTCTTTCCTGTATACAGCTCCACACAGGAACGCGAAGAGCACAAGATTAGGTTTATGAACCAGAACATTAAAAACCTTAAAGCCTCCATCCCCACGGCCGGCGGTCTTCAGTCTGCTGTATCCATTTTCTTCATTATATCCAGGAGAAACGATTCGTAAAACGTTAATTCATTCTTCTCACTTTAAGTGTGTTACCATTCAAATGATTTGTAGAAACAAATTTTAAAATAAAAAATAGCTGGCACTATTTTAGTTAGAAGTGTTTTCACTAGATGACTTGCATCAGTGGATATGCGCTACCATGAGAGGGGTTAAGATTTTCTGATAGTATTGTCTTTTACAAGAATACAATACTCCTTTGGTTTTAATGGGTTTTGAGCTCTTCGTAACTTAAAGAAACCTGAGTTTGAATAGGCAATGCGTAATGGGATTTACATTTTCTTACCTATCCAAGGACAAGGGATAATTAGACAATTTGTCAACAACACGCAGTCTGTTAAAAATAAAATGCTTCATTTGTAGCATTTTAGGCACATGGTCACTTCCTGCTGACTTTAGGAAACAAATGTTCAATGCCTGTTATAATTATTTTGTTCTGCTGCAGATAAGATCTCCATCCTCAACATCTCTGCTGGACAGCTCTTTCCATACGGCCAACCGGATTTAACGTCTGACAGACCCCGTCTTTCCGGAGAGCTGTAAAAACTAGTAACTGAGTCGGCACAGCTCTGGCAACCTCGTCATTTTACAACATCAGAACATATTGCAAAAACCCTGGAAATGTTTGTATAAACGTTAATCCACAACAGCCTACCCTGCTAAATTGAAAACACAAATCCCAGTGCTGATTACCAATATGAATAGTGGAGCTCGACCTGTCAGATTTCCACCTACAACGTCTGGGTAGCAAGAGCCAGATTGCATTTCTCACTCTACCCCAACAAACATTTTCGGTACAAAACGTGGTGTCAATATTATTTTTGTACAGTTTTAGGGATCTCTCTTCTTAATTTAATGTTTGACGACAGCAGATTAAATTAAAAATGACAATGCCACAGACAAGTGAGCGATTGTTCCAGTTTCCAGTTTTAACTTTAAAAAGTGTTCACAAAGCAAAAGAAATGACTAATTTAGCGGCTTGACTAAATGGAAGTGTTATCAATGTACTGTATGTGTTCTTGAGATCACTGATTAACGGTCCATTAGGAACATGTTTATGTGTATAGGCAGGCAGAACAATTCTGTTTTTAATCCTTTGATTGGGGTCTTTGAAATATTGGCTTTTTGGCACTTTGCTTTGCCTACAATACAAAGTGACTTTTAAATAGCGTAGAGTGCAGGAGTTCTTTATTTTTCATGTTTAAAATTGGGATGTTCCCATTAAGAGGTATGTGTATGTTTATTGATGCATAGTGCATGTCCTTCTAATTATGTCCATTATGGAAGACAATCTCCAATATTTCCAAACATTGCTTTTATTCTGAAACATACTTCAGATCCATTTGTAGTTAGTTTATTGCGCTGGTAAACCCATCTTCTTTCCCAATTCAGTTTCCAAAACAAAATTACTGTACAGTATATGGCTTCAAGTATTTCCCAGGTAAAAAAAATGAAAGATATGGAATATTTTACAATACAGTACAAATTAACACAATGTGTAAAAAATGCATATAAATTCACTGGAATTCTGCTTTAAGTTTCCAAATGCCTTCTTTACCAGGAGACCTATGGAAATCACAGATGTTCCGTAACAGTTCTCTGAAAATCACTGTTTGTGAGGCAGACAGCTTGGGAGTGAACTCCTGCAATATTTCCTGAGTGCTTGCCTGTCCATCGACCTGGGCCTGAAAGGCAATAAAGTTCCTCAAGTCCACCAGCAGCTCGTCGTGTTCGGTCGGGGTGAGGGATGCGGCAGACGCCGGCGGCACGCCGTCCTGCTCCCTGTCACTCTCCAGGGACTGGGAAAGGCTCAGGTGATTCCTGGCCCTCATCACGGCCAGCAGGGAAGATGAGGACAGAGCAGAGAGGCTGGAGTCTTCCTCCACGCCTTCCCCACTGAAATGACTGGAGGAGGGAGTCTTCTTCAAGCCTAGTTTCTTAATAACAGCAGCGTCCTAAAACACAAACCGTGTAGGCAGCTTGAGGTCAGTTATGGCCCGATGCTAGGCATGAGTCCTATACAAACCCAGACAGGTCTGGTAACCACACAACTATACAAAACACAGCTCTGCTTAAGTCCACGGCCAAGTCTTTGAGAGTCTGTGCCTTAGAGGATAAATACTGGTTTCAGTACATTTAACATTAGAATCAAACGTATCCATCTGTTAGAAAAAAGAAATGTTTAAGTCTCTATAAAAAACCTAAAAACTCCAAAGTTTAGATGTCCTACCTTGCACTTCTCCGGCACACTGGTTGTAACTGGGGCTGCAGCAGACAGCAGAGAATTTTTCTTTGTTCCAAACCTTTTCCTAATGTTAAATGAAAAAACCATTAGGATGATGAAAAGTAAGCAGTGCCACATCTAGGACAGCAGACAGGGCCAAACGGGAGTGTTTTTTAAAGAAGCTGAAATTGCATGTACTAACTTTGCTCCCACCAGGGGGCTGCCCTGTGGGGCTGGAGCTCTGGAGAAGGGCAGCCTGCAGTGCTGTCGGGAGATCCTCACAGCTCTCAAAGCATCCTTGGCCACTCTGTTCGCCTCCGCTTCCACCAGGACATAGTCTGGGTTCGAGGCCTCCATGATCGAGTCATGTTTCATGACGCTGTGGATTCCTAAGAAGCAAGACAGAAAACAGTACTGCCATCACCATTCAAGCCTCAAGCCTTGCATACTCGATAACTAAGAAAACAACTCATTTGTTCTGTAAAAGAACTGAACTGTTTAATGACCCTTTTAATGCTTGGCAGGAGCCAAATAAACAAAAAATAATGTCTGAACTCTGCTTTCCTCCCAAAAATGTTCAATGCAAGTGGCATGCAGCTGCAAAACAGGTATTGCGCCTGCTGAACACACGACACAATTTTCAGATGCAAGAAATAAAACAGTGCAAACGAAAACAGTGCCGCGACTTGTCGTTTGGCATGTGATAATGGATAAAACATGATACCGGATTTCTTGAAGAGCTTGGCTAAGACATAATCGTCGCTCTTGTTCTGGTCTTCTCTCTCCTTGTCGTCCCCCTCCTCCCTTCTGTACTTCCTCCTCTTCACCAGGTGCGGGATGTGATGGCCCTCGAACCTGCTGCCGCTGGGGTGCTTGTGCTTGTGCTTGTGTGGCGGCGGCGGCGCCACGCCCTCTCCAGGGGCGCAATGCTTCCTTTTCTCTTTGTGCTTCTGGGGGCTGCCGTGCCCCGGCTGGCTCTGCCATCCGTCCACGGCCTGCCCGGTCGCGGGGGCGGAGGCCTCCGGCGCCGTGCTGGCGTCTCCTGCGTCCTCTCCGCCGGTGCTGCCGGCCGGGGGGCCGCGCCTCGTCCCCGCGGTTCTGCGGTCGGCTCCGCCCTCTCCCTCGCTCACACTCGCCCTCCCGCGCTCTGTCGAGGCTGGGTTTTCGCGGCCGCTGAGCCCCGGGCTAGACTCCAAGGAGGTGGCCTCCCTGGGCCTCTCGGCCGCACTCTGCCGGGTGTCGCCGGGGCTTGGCTGTGAGGTCCGGGGTTTTGACAGCTTCTTCGGGATTGTGACGTCGGACCCAGTGCCTGAGCGCAAGAAAAAGAACGAGACCCTGATTCTTCTGCAAGGCATGACGTCACACCGAAAAAGCATATCAGCGGAGATCAAAAGGTAACATTCTGATACATTTAACACGGTTTTTTTTATTGGCGAAAACGAATGTGGGGAAAACGACATAGGAATCAATATAATGCACTTTTAAAAGAAAGTCACAAACTCAATGACATCACTCATATGGAAGAGGAACCTTCTTCCAAGAAACACTTCTGCACGCTCATACACACATTTAAGGCACACTCTGCATGTGTCTGTGAACCCACAAAGAAGAACCGACTTTAACATGAGTTCCACGGCTGAAATACCTGCAAACAAAGCACTGGTTTCTGTCCCCTGAGAGCCATCAGGATTGCTCAATGTGAAAAGCTCATAAATATCATTGGACTTAAAAAAACGCCGCTGTTTTGGGTCTTTCAGTACTCGATTTGTGAGGAACTGCTTGAAGATTTGTCTGAGGAAAAGAAAAAAAAAAACAAGTTATATTGAAATTCTTCAATCGGATCTTCGCCCGTAACACAGTCATTAACATAATGACCAGAAATAAAACCCTACTACCCCTTGATTTTACACAATTTTACCCCACTGAACTGTAAAGCAGCTGGAAAAAGAATATTGTTTTATAGGTTCGGTCTGAATTAGTCAATTAACCTGTAAACAACCCGCAAATTCAGTTTCTTTGGGAATTTACAGTATTTCAAGAATCAAATAACACACCAGGTTACCACTGTCCCTGAACGTCCTGCGTGAACATTTGTCTTTGGCACTTAATGACTTTATAGTCTGTTTCAAATGCGAATTCAAATGCGAGAAACAATATGACTGGTAATGGTTTGTGTTATCTTTATGGAAAAAACAATTGGAAATCTTCAAAAGGACTGAATGCTGAGCAACAACAAAACAAATCTATGGTCTTTAGAAAACCAAAGCCCTCCAGAAACTCTCCGTTATTAGGAGACTAAATGTGTTATAAAGCCGTAGAACAGGAAATTATTTGATGCATTAATCATTAAACAAAAATATATTACTTTAATAAAAGGGAAATGTGTTAAAAATACTCAAGCAAAGCATGTGTTTTAAATAAACACAGAATATGTCCTAGTTTTAAAAGGAAGCATTATATATAGTCTATCAGAGAGAAATAAAGCCTTTATTAAAAATAAAAACTTTGGACATCTCTACATTTCTGTCTTAATGTGCTGTTGTTGTCTTAAAATAATATTTCCATAACCCAAGAAATTACATAAAGCTAAACTCACGCAGACTCAAAAATGAGCTGAAATTATACACTAAAGTTTTGCAAACCATGAAGTAAAACAATTATAAGGGATGAGACAGTTCTGCATCACTAAAAAAAGTTGTCGAGATTGCTTTGCCAGTAGTAGTTTTTCACTGCATTCTGATCCAGGGACCCTAAGTAGCTATTCTTCTCTGAAACAAGTAACTATCCCCAGGCTTCCATAAAACCATGCCTGTTATTACAGACCTGTGGTAAATCTTCTCTTCAATAGTCCCAGCCGTCACCAATCTGTACACTGTCACTTGCAGCTTCTGGCCTATTCTCCAAGCACGTTCTCGGGCCTAAAAAAGCAGAAACATCACAACTCTAATCAGAGCAATGAAAAGCACGAGGATGAAATACTTGGAACAGACTGAAACAAAATTTAGGAACACGTGACATCTACTGCGAGGGATAATGTTCATGTGTCCAGGGGTTTCACTGTCACTCACCGGTCTTTTATTATTAAACTACTGCTTTTATTCAAGGAGACTTACATTGGTACACATTTACCCAGCAGGCAGTGGTTGTGAATGACGTTGCTCAAGGACACAACAGCAGTTCTCCAACCGGGATTTGAAGCCACAGTCTTAACAGCCCCGAGCCCCTAACCCAGTGGTTCTGAATCCTGGTTCTGGTGACCCACATACCTGCTGGTAGGTTTCCCTACCTAAGTTAGATAATTGAGGCCTTACTTGATCTAAGAAGCTGCTTCAAATTGAATATTTGCATTTTGTTTCTGGTCACAAGCTAGGAATTTCACTTCACTAATAAAAACACAATGGTTAAAGCGCCAATAAGTTTAAGAGCTGGGAACAGACGCAACGGCTGTGTGGCTCAGCAGGACCAGGGCTGGGAACCGCTGTGCTAAACCGTACCGATCCCCCTCGCGTTCTCTCTCAATTGTATTATTTATTTCACAATCATCACCGGTGAAAATCATCAAAGTGCTCAGGAAAGTGAGTTTAGATACGCAATTTACTATGCAAAACGAAAAAACAACTGCCTCTGACAAAAAGAAAAGAAGTTTCGGGATTGATAGGATATTTTTGTCTAAATTTGGGTGTTTTTTTAAAAGAAAATATGTAGAATTTTTTTAATGGAAAACTCAGGTGATTGACTTTGTTTAGCATTTTATTAATATACACATTACTATTTGAGCTGCAATTATCATTCACAAATTATGCTTAATCACGAGGTACATCTGACTTCTCTCTCACTGTGAAAGCTGGGTACAAAAAAATCAACTAACTTTGCCACCAGCTGGCACTGCCTTTCAGTTATTACCCTAAGCTTTTATCCACCAACCAAGTATTTTCAACAGGTGAAACTTTCTTGTTAAAAATAAAGCAAGCTGCAGTCTTAAAAGCTGTACTTGAGTAACTTGGTTGTGAATGCCTGGTGCTGAACTGACGTGCAGTGCCACTGCACTGTCAGAACGATCAAGGAAGTCAGGAGAATTGTACTTAAAGGCTTCATTAAAAGAATGAATTTATGTACCATTATAACTAACCAAAGCATTTAAACTTGTACAAATGCATTTAACTGATGTTTTCTTTGTTATATTTGGTTTTGGTACACAGCAATAGCAAATGACCTTTAACATAGTTAAAATATTCTATAAATAGCTTAAAAGACAAATAAATCATCTGGAGTCTTTTCTCCATTCACCATTTGCATACTGGCAGAAAAACTAAACTTAAAAGCAAAAAAACTGCAAATATTTACTGTTCCAACACTGACAAATGTACATGACATTAGAAAAAGAATCCACTTTTTCCTAATAGGAAAGTCAGTGTGTTTGTGCTGCTTTTGGATATAATCTAAAATATAATCTTGCCTACCTTACCTACCTATAATACACAAGTCAAATGTGGCAAAGGTACGGCATTTTTGCAAACTGAAATCATTTCTAAACAAAACCTAATTTAAAAAAAAAAAACGTCTCCAGCTTCCACGAATTAAAAGTCTGGCAATGAATTCTGTTTTATTGTTATGCATGTGTACCCTACTATTATACCCCTGAAAAACAGTCAACAAAACTAAAGCAGTAGAACAGACAAAATGCTATTTTTTGTTTGCTGAACAATGTATATTATAACAAATTGGACTTTGTACATTAACAACATGCAACATAAGGATTCGTGTCATTACATTATACCGATTTTATGTTTATAATGTTTTATAAACCTGTACTCATTTTTAAAACAAATGTGTCTTGTGTTGTCTTGCGTAGACGTCTGTAAGCTACATGTGAGCTACATCATACTGGAGTCTTTCTTTTTCGTTGCTGTCGCCAGGGTCAGAGATCTCCGAATGACGGCAGTAAACGGTCAGTAACCTGCGTGTCAGTGCTAGGGTTCCAGTCAGGGTCGAAGATGATCACCCTGTTCGCTCCTGTCAGGTTCACTCCCAGTCCTCCCACTCTGGTGGTCAACAGAAACAGGAATATGGACTTGTTCTAGACAAGCAGACGAGATGTTACAAGTCATTATACTTCCGTTATGTTATCTTTCGTTCTTTACTGAATATTAAAAAAAAGTTATTAAACCGGACATAGCAAATGTGCAATGTTTTTTTAACAACAAAGGAAAAAAGAGAACAAACAATGCTGAATAAACAAGCATGGCAGAGCCCTTACAGATCTGCCTTACTGTCCTTACAGTGTTTCTCTATTTTGTTTTCTACCAGGGAGCAGCTCCCTGAAGCATTCCTCACTTGAGGACCACTTAAAAACCACAACAAAATGATAGAAGAAACCATACTGAAGTCATCCATGATCACTGTGAGCTGGGCCTCTCTGGCTCTGTCCGAAAGGGGACAGGGACCGGTTTCAGTCCACAGGACCAGGGGTTAAGAAACACGGCCCTAGTATCAGCAAGTAAGGGCCATTCAGTACAAGAACAGCAGGGCAACAATCACTTCTGGCAAAAAATTACATATCTGACATGAAAGAGTGAAACTTTCCCTTAAAAACTGACTGCTGGGGCTTCTCTGAGCTGAGTGAGGCTAGCAGACAGCAGTCTATGTGAAATACTGTATAACCATCTTAACCTTTATTACGAACTCTACAGCAGGCTTTGTGAAACCATATTAGTACAGTAAAAGAGTCCCGTTTTTCAATAGCCAACACTTTAAAGATGCAGATATATTAATTTTGGCACTAGGCATGCTATGACTAGAGCTGCAAACTGTGTTGCTTTTTGATCTGCTAAGACAATAAAACAGGGTGCAAATGTTCATTCCATGCAGAAAAAGAAAAGAGAAATACAGAGTTTAAGCCATGGAGCCTCTTCATTAGTGGGAGTCTTGCTCAATTCCATCTTTGTTCTGTTTCCATGAATCTTTGAAATCACTTTACAGAGATGGAGATATTTTTTTGGGGGGTATTGCTAAAGAATGATGCAATTATAAGAATTAAACAAATCAAATCCTTCCCTGGGTATGGTTGGGACAGCACTTCTTTTTCTGGCTTTAGGGTCAGATATGTGCATCGGCACTGCATGTGACTGCAGAAACTGCACTGTCTGCAGACCGAATGTCCTGTAACTCTGTGGGACAGCACAGCCAGTCTCTGCTCACCTCATTGTACTGTGCAATAAGAGGCTGCCGTGAAGCTATAGTGGTGGTTCCATCCATCTTGAGATAGGAGAACCCTCTGTCCCTCACAAAGACCTCCAGGATATTCAGCATCTGGGTGAAGAGGCGGTTTCACACCAAACATGGTTAACAGGATTACTTAGGATTAAAAGCCATTAAGAGTGCATGTACAAAGAAAAGCAACACACCGTAATTTTCAATGCATTCTGTGGAAAAATCCCATTTCTATTGAACAGGAAAAGCTGGCCCCTGAAAGATCCTGTATAATAAAATGCATTTCATAATGAATTGTATTGAATAACAAAAGGCATTTCAGAAACTTATTTGTGGATGAAAATGATATATACAGTTGCAGCCACTGGTATAAACACACACAATTCTCATAAAAACATAAAACACTTCACTACTGATTACTTAGAAGAAAAAGTATAAATAAACTAAAACTTTGGTAAGAACTGTTTTGGAAAACAAACCAATACCCACAATGACTGAAATTATGCAGAATTTGTCCAGTTTAAAAATCTCCTTCACAACACAAAGTCTATATGTGGAGTATGTGTGAAACATTTCACTGCCAGGTGCTATGTTGTGACAGACACTATGAGGCTCTTCTCCAGAGCAGTGCAGT